ACCAAACCGTTTAGAAATAGTTCGATTTAAATTTCGATACTTAAAAATCATTTGAAGTCGAATTGAACCATTAATAGAATTAAGGAAAAAGAAAACAAATCCCAAGTTAGAGAGTTTGGGAAGCTACAAGGCAAGTATTTTATAAGCCACAAGGCAAGTACTTTACAAGCCAAGGATTTGTTTTAAGACTCATAGCACAAGGCAAGTATTTTTATAAGCAATGAATTAGAATTTTTATAAGCTTGTAGATGATGGTGCACCTTTAGTCCATTCATTGCTAGCAGGTGTGGCTAAACATTTACCTAATAAAATACCTGAGAAGAAAGAGATTTGGAGGGATGAGAAGAGTGGCAAACAGTGTCGATGTAGTTGAAGACCATGATTCTGAGTGGGTTCGATCAATATTGGAAGAAGTGGGGGGTGCAAGTGACGGTTCATGGAACTTGTTGCCATATTTATTTGCGACATTTATGACATCTANTGACTAAGAACCGAAGAATCGAATAAAAACCGAAACTAAATAATTTTTTTATTTTTTATATTGAATTAATTAAATTATTTTATTTTTTTCTATACAAATTGGCAAATTAATTAAATAAATTAGATTATTTCATAATTTTAATTTTAAAGACCAAATCATTTTTAAAACCCATTAGCCCATTTTTATTTAAAACAAATGAATATACTTTATGTAGTTTTGCTGTAATATTAATATCTACTTTTTGGTATTTGTATGCACTAAATTAATCTTATTGGACGGCTAGTTATTTATTTGTTTCTGAATTGGACTACGTTAATTTGTAAAAGTTACGAATGAAATGTTATTAGTTGTATTTATGTAGTGTTGCTGTAAATATTAAAAAATTTGATTATAGTATGGAACCGAACGGAACCGAACCGACCCGACCCAAACCGAACGGAAACGAACCCGAACGATTCCATAATTATATTTGGACCCGACGGGTCCATTTATTAAATACCCGAAAGTTTTGGGTCGGTTCGGGTCTCTTCAGAACCAAACCGATCCACGGACAGCCCTAGGTGCAAACATGGGATGACGCAGGGGTTGGCCTAGGGTCATGTGACCCCCAAACTTTGCTCCTTTTTTTTTCACCATTAAATAATCTATGTTTTTGTTTCAATTTTCGAAATCATTATGGGATATGAAACGAAATCGAAATATTGTATTCTTAATACCATTTCGAAATGCTCACGGTCTAATTTTCTACGTCGTTAATAACGTATGAAATGATCGATTGTAACAAATGTTAAGACTTGTCAAAGTAGGCCGTTCAAAATTAGTATTTCGAAAATTTCGATTACATGCTAACTTTAAAAATTCTTTGACGATCGTACGCTAATCGAATGTAAAAATTGCGTATGTCATCTTAAAACTTATTTCGAAAACTACATTATAGGCATATCGAATAGTTCAAACAGATATAAAAAATAGTTAAAGATGCGTTAAATGTGACTGTTAAAGAAATGCGTCTAACTCACATTTTCTTTAAAAAATTCAATTATTTCATTAACATTTATTATTTTTGTGATACAAATTTCTTAATGTAATTTTCATCATTTTATATGGAATATAACATCAAAAGTTTTGGAAATTTTACATCAAAAAAATCCATATTTCATGTAAATTTTCGGATACAAAATTACATGGGGTATGATTTTTTTGGACGTAAAATTTCTCTCAACTTTTTTGCAAGTTCGATTGTGCCCCATAACTTTAAAAATCGACGTCCACCCCTGAGTGAAATAGAATGTGACGACTTTCTCAATAGAATATGGATGACAATAAATTAAGTCTAATTCTCATCGACTTGAATTCTTTTTTACTACTTTGCATGGTTTATTGCTAGATCTGCTAAAGAATTAATAAATAATTTTTAACAACTCATTAGGTCGGGTTAGTTTTACTCTAGCTCCTCCCTTTTGGAACCAAAGTCTACACGGGGTGTTTGTCTTTGATTTGAGAATTGATTATCAAACCAATTCTCATTTTCAACTACACATTTTTCAATAAAATAATATTTTTTATCACNACACATTTTTCAATAAAATAATATTTTTTATCACATTAATAATTTTTTTTCTTTTTTAATCACACATTTCCCATCATATCACTATTCAAAAATCAATTTTTCCCCCAAAAATCCCTACCAAACAAGCTTGTCTCAACTACACAACCAATTGTTTCCTTAATTTATCGTCGATCAATATCACTTTCATTTATTGACATATCATTGAGAAAAGCTTCAACGGGACGGTCTTATATTTACAAGTGGTAGAATTGTCCAGTTAAATCACGATACTTCAGACCACTCAAATCGAGATACCGCAATGTGCAAGGTGGCAAGAGAAACAAAGAGGATGTGCAACGTCGAGGCCAAACAATGAGGGATTCGAGGTCTCAAGTGTTGTTATTTGAATGAACATTTCTACCACTTGTGCATATAATACCACCTTACAGAAACTTCTTCCACTCATCTTATTTCATACAATCGTGTTGTAGGTACATATTTTTTTTATGGAAATTTTGACAGACAACACTTAATATGACAGTATTGGAAGATGGGAAAACCAAAAAAAAAAGACCATTCAAATTTGGCCACGTCAGCGTCAGTATCAATTATGTCAAGATTCTCGTGTACTTGGAGCATTATTGTATTTCATATGACCATGTGTCCATCTTTAACTCTTTATTCACTTTTCACTTGTGTATTCATTTCAATATAATCATGCATCCATCTCAACATCTTCATTATTATTTTTTGTAACGTTGTCTCATTGATGTTAGCCTTCAATAATCCAACGCTTCGCGATACTCAGATTGTACAGCATGGCCTTAGCAGACCTTGCTCCTTGTAATCTTTGTTGGACTTCAGATCGCATACGCAACCAAAATGTCTTCCAAAATTGGTTTCTATGGCACCAAAAAATTCTTGCAAATGTCAAGTTCTATTAATGGTGTGTTTGATACATGTTAAAATGGAAAGAATGCATTTTTTTTTTTTTTTTTTTATGTGATAGTGAATATGGGGTTTAAAAAGAAAGAAAAATTATTAATGTGACAAAAAATATTATTTTATTGAAAAATGTGTAATAAAAAATGAGTATAAGAATGAAAATGTTGCTCAAACAAGGGCTAAATCTCAATCAAGAGAGGGGCAAAAAAATTATACTGGGTTAAAATATCGAAATGAGTTTAATGTCTTGCACTTGAGCCTGCAGAATCTTTTCC